GCAGTGAGCTATGACTGCATTCCATGAGTTTTGAAAAATGCATGTAGTTGTATAACTACTACGAGATTAAAGATTTAGATTGGTTCCATCACCTCCCAAAATTCTTACATGCCCTTTTATAGTCAATTCCTCCCAGTCCCCAGTCCACAGCAACTACTGATTTATTTTCTGTTCCTATATTTTCGTCATTTCCATAAAGTGTATGAATGGAATCATGCTGTTTGTATCCTTTTGAATCTGAGTTCTTTCTGCTATGCATTTAAAATCCATTCATGTTACCAGGCACAGTGCCTCATGTCTGTAACCCCATCACTTTGGGAGGTAGAGGCAAGAGGATTGCCTGAGCCCAGGGGTTCGAGACCAGCCTGGGCAACTTGGCAAGACCTCATCTCTACAATGAATTAAAAAATGAGCTGGGCAGGTGGTGCACACCTATAGTCTTAGTTTCTTGGGAGGCTAAATTGGAAGGATCACATGAGCCCAGCAGGTAAGATTGCAGTAGCTGTGAGTGTGCTACTGTGCTCCATCCTGGGCAACACAGTAAGACTCCTACTTAAAAAAAAAAAAAATCCATTCATCTTGTTTCTTATAACAGCAGTCTGCTCCTTTTCACTGCTGAGTAGTATTATGTTGTATGGATATACCACCATTGATTTAAACATTTACTAGTTTCAGGACATTCAGGTTTTTCCAGCTTTTGGAGACTGCAGTTGACAACACTGTATACTTTCATGTACAGGTTTCTGTGTGAACATAAGTGTGCATTTCACCTAGGAGTGGGATTATTGAATCATATGGCAAGTGTATGCTTAACTTTGTCAGAAACTGCCACACTGTTTTTGCAAAGTGGTGGTACAAATTTGTATTCCTACCAAAAAATGTATAGTAATTCCATTTTAATTGTTCTGCATCCTTGTCCACATTTGATACTGTTGATTTTTAAAAAAATCTGTCCTTTAGCTGGGCACAATGGCTCAAGCCTGTAATTCTAGCACTTTGGGAGGCTGAGGCAAGAGGGTTGTCTGAGCCCAGGGGTTTGAGACCAGCCTGGGCAACTTGGTGAGAACTGTATCTACAATAAATCAAAAATGGCTGGGTTTGGTGGCTCAGCCTGTAATTCCAGCAATTTGGGAGGCTGAGGTGAGAGGACTGCCTGAGCCCAAAGGTTCAAGACCAGCCCAGGCAACCTGATAAGACCTTGTCTCTACAAGAAATCAAAAATTAGCTGGGTGTGGTAGTGCATGCTTGTAGTTCTGGCTACTTGGAAGGTTGAGGCGGAAGGGTCCCCTGAGCCCAGCAGGTCGATGCTGGGGTGGCTATGAGTGTGTCACTGCACTCCAGCCTGGGCAACAGAGTGTGACTCCAACTCAAAAAAAAAAAAAAACACCCAAAAAACCTGTCTTTTGTCCATGGCATACAGGATGTGAAAAAAGAAAAATAAATTTAATTTAAAAAACCTGCCTCAGGTGGGTAGTGGTATCTCACTGTGGTTTCAATTTGTATCATCCTAATTAATTACTGATGATGTTGAGTGTCATCAGTATTTTTTTGTGTGCTTATTTGCAATTGTGTCCTTTCTGCTACACACTGAATTATGTTACCTTTGCCCCATTTCTTTTACTGAAGCCCCAATCTTCAATATGATGACATTTGGAGATGGGACTTTTGGGAGGCAATTGGGTTTAAATGAGGTAATAAAGGTGGGTATCTCATGGTGAGATTAGTGGCTTCATAAGAAGAGTGAGAGATGAGTGAGATAAGTGAGAGATTACTCTCTGGCTACCTTGTGAGGACACAGCAAGAAGGTGGTTGACGGCAAGCCAGGAAAGGGGAGCCCTCACCAGGAACTGAATTACCTGGCACCTTGGTCTTGGATCTCCCAGGCCCCAGAACCATGAGAAATAAATGCTGTTCTTTCAGTTACCTGGTCTATGATATTTTGTTATAGCAGCCCGAGCTGACTAATATGAACTCTTTGGCAACATGCTTAAAATGTAATACATTTTAATTGGATTATTTCTTGAAAGTAAATAATGAGAGTTGTTTCTATATTCTGGATGCCAGTCATTTATTAGATGTGTGTTTTTACATCAATTTTCTACCTAGCCTGATGCTTGTTTTTTCACTTTTACAGAGCAGAAGTTTTTGATTTTGATGGAGTCCAGTTGGTCATTTTTTTCCTTTAAGGATCATGTTTTTGGTGTTATATCTATGGAATATTTGCCTAATCTAAGATCACAAAGGTTTTTTTCTATGTCTTCTTCTTGAAGTTTTATAGTTTTAGATTTTTATTTGGGTCTACAATTCATTTTTTTTCTTTTTTTGAGTTAGAGTCTCACTCTGTCATTCAGGCTAGAATGCAGTGGCAACTCATGGCCACCACATGGAACTGACACAAACTTCCTGTGGCTTGAAACAGACATAAACTTTCCCTGGCTCGAAACTGACACAATTCTTGCGGTTTGTAACTGACACAACAAGACTAAGTAAAAGCCAGCACTCCCTACCCTCCAGTGTATCACCTTCTTGGAGATCTCCCACACTACTCATTTGTTTAAATTAAAGCTCTTTACTTTCCATGACAAATCCTTGAAATCTTTCCTGTGACAAAGTCAGGAGCCTGGTCCTGGTATGGGTGGAGGACTGCACCTCTACGGAGGAGACTTCCAACTTCCCAGGAGTCCGCTAGGCAATGCTGGGCCTACCTGGGAACATTCTGTTTCTCTCTTGCTGAGGCAATCCTTCCCAAGCCTGCCATCATCAATGGTGCTAAGTTAAAACCAGTCTTAGAGTCATGGCAGGCAGGTCGCTTCAGCAGCTCTAGGTGAAACTGGTCTAAGAGTTACAGCAGGTCATTTCAGCAGCTAGACTTGTGAAAAATTTAATTCTTGGAACAAGTGCTATGTGTCCCAAGTGTTTTTCCCCCTGACCTCTTTACTTAATCTAGTTGGGTATGACAAGAATGCCCCGATTTGTATAATCAACTTTCACAAAAGGCAGGCAGATGCAAGTTACTAGTCTTCAGACTTTTTTTTAAATTGCCTAAGCCTCAAAAGCATTTTGAAAAATAGTTTATCATGTTTTAAAGTAGATATTGACAATTTTAATTATTTTTGTACAGCAAAGGATATTTCCCAACATGTTGTACATAGTAATATTTTGGAAGAAAAAATTTATATTGCCTTTTAAAAAAATGGCATATAAATGGAATCTAAACATCTTTTCAATTTGATGTATACTATCATTCATTTAAAAAATATAGGGCAAAGCTTCTTTTTAATCGAAAGAAATTTTATGCTATATTTTCCCCCTTGAACTCTTATTGTCAATGTCAGAATAGAAATAAGAACATCCACAGAATTTATACTAATAACATTTTTCAACTTAAAAGTCTTTTATTGCTTATTGCTTACCCTATTATATATACACATATATTCATGGAAACATTTTATTAAAAAATTTCTGTGATGTAAAAAATGTTCTTGATTGGGTTATCATTACAGCAATTATAAATTCACAGTTGGTCAAAGAAGCATAAATATTTTACATTTTGATAGATAACTATCAAGTACAAAAAGTACAAAGGTTAAAAAGACAATTCTTAATAAGGTGAATGGTGCTTTTTTCCCCAATAAGTTCATGTATCTGTGTCTAAATTGCTAGAATGAGAGAGGATTCAGCATCAATTTTATTTTTTTAAAATTTTTATAGAAATAAGCATTGAGCAAACTTGATGATATAAATATGTAGATGAAAATGGAAGAAATTAAATCATACGGTTATCTTTGTTGAAAATTGCTTTTAATGAGTTATCAGCTAGCAACTCAATTAAGTCTTCCAATTTTATTGAGCAAATCATTGGAAATCATCTGACTTACAAAAAGATTGATTTATTTATTAAAGGCATTCACTTACTTGGTTATTAGTAAGTGTATTAAAAAAACCTTACTGATAGTTATCAATAAATATTATGTTACCTGTTACTAGGTTTTATAGGCACCTCAGCTTGTTAAGCTAAAAGGAATAGAGACTGGGCTTCAAACAAGCCTATAATATTGAAAATTGTGCCTTCTTTTATTTTTTCTCTATAGGCTGTTAATAAATTTAGGCCGGTGGGGCTTGGTGGCTCAGCCTGTAATCCTAGCACTTTGGGAGGCTGAGGCAAGTGGATTGCCTGATCACACAGGTTAGAGACCAGCCCCGGCAACTTGGCAAGACCTTGACTCTACAATAAATAAAAAACTAGCCTGGTGTGGTAGCACGCATCTGTAGTTCTGGCTACTTGGAAGGCTGAAGCAGAAGAATTACTGGAGCCTAGGTGGTTGATGCTGGGGGTGGCCGTGAGTGTGCCACTGCACTCTAGCCTGGGTGATGGAGTGAGACTCCAACTCGAAAAATAAATAAATAAATAAAAATTTAGACCATATTAAATAAATTTTTGATAGTCTAAATTGGTTTAGTTCTGCAAAATGGTATGACTGATAAACACTTGAAAATTATATTTCTGTATAATTCATATGCCTACTACAGATTTAAGAATTATTAATTTTTTGCCATATTTGCTTACTTTTTTGAAGTATCTTATAGTAAAATAGAGACTACATATCCCTTCAGCCCCATGTATTTCATTAGGTATCTTTTCTCTTTTTCTTTTTTTTCTTTTTTACAAGAAAGAACATTTCCTGCTTAACCACAATAACATTCTCACACCTAAACATAAATAATACTTTTTTTAGTTAATGGTATTTTTATTGGAAAAAATAAACAACAAAAAGAAAGACTAGCATTTACAACTTGTAATGGATGTAAATTGCCATCTCTTGAGCAGCCATGTTATGTTGATGTTGTGCTGAAGTCTACAGCCTACTCTACAGCTCCAAGTCAGGGGTTAGAAGGTTTTGAAAACAGGGTCCAAGATGCTCCCTTGGTAACGGTTTCTTATTAAAAATGTGTCAGCCTCACACTTGTTTCACTCTAGAATGATGCTAAGACAACATACATGGGCATGCCACCATGATGTGTCACCGTCACCATGGGCCAGCGCTCGCAGAAGTGCAAGAGGACCATCTTACCAGCAGGACCAACCTCAAAGGTTTAGCCTCCACCCATTTTTCTGCATGTCATCCTGAGGTAAACCAATTCTCAATGTTTGTTTTCAGGAAACCAGCTACAACAATTTCTACTAGACAAATTGAGCTAGAACCCATTGGAATAGGTTTTGAATCGTTTCTTCGGTTTTCATTTTTAATACAAATGCCTGACTGTGCTCAATCGTTAAGCTGCATGCATGAAAAACTGGCGAGTCCAGACAGTGTGTTAATTGTCAGCAAATGGAGCCATAAGGGTCCTTATCATTAAGGTGGGATAAGTATTTATATTGGAAACTGATGTGTAGTTTGATCTCGAGGGGACAGGACCCCCAACCAATACATGCAGATTTTGTGTGTGTGGACAGGAGGTACTTTTGACGTTCAGTTTTGCTATATAGAAACAGAATGAATAAATGAACTTTTTCCTTTTTTTTTTTTTTTTGCAAGAGGTAGGTAAAAGATTCAATTTGATTCTTCTAGGGGGGTAAAAAGGACTTGAAAGCAGGTCTTCATTTTGCAGTCATCATCTGTACGAATTCTTCATAGTTGACCCGACCGTCTCCATCAATATCTGCTTCCCTGATCATTTCATCTACTTCTTCATCTGTTAGCTTTTCTCCTGAGTTTGTCATGACGTGACGGAGTTCTGCCGCGCTGCTGTAGCCATTGCCATCCTTGTCAAAGACTCGGAATGCCTCGCGGATTTCCTCTTCACTGTCTGCATCTTTCATTTTTCTAGCCACCATTGTAAAAAATTCTGGGAAGTCAATGGTGCCATTACCATCAGCATCCACCTCGTCGATCCTGTTCTGCAACGCGGCTTCTGCTGGGTTCTGACCCAGTGACCGCATGACAAGTCCCAAGTTCCTTTGTTGTGATGGTGCCGTCGCCGTCTTTATCGAAAAGGGAGAAAGCGTCCTTGCATTCAGCAATCGGCCCTTCGGTCAGCCGATCAGCCACGGTGCGGGCGGAGGGAGGAAGGGCAGAGGCAGCAGGGGCTGTGGCGGCG